TTTTGGGAGTTGGGTTAATTTCATTGTTTTACTTACAAGTCATTAGTCAAGAAAAGAAATATTCTATTATACAAATATATGTGTGTATAATAAACAGTATCCAAAATGATTTAAATATCTAACAATTCCTTTATCCTCTAAGAATGGCGAACCCAAAAATATGTTGCTGCTTCTGATTTTATAATAAAATTCTTCGAATGCAAAAAGTGTTTTCAAAATAAATTTTCTGGATATTTTTGTTGGTTGCTGTTATGCAATTCAATTATTTAAGGAATTCAATCGAGAAATTATCGGAAACAAACAATTTTTTGCTGCTGCTGACACCGCAGATGCGATCCGACATGAAATGTGGAATTCAATGTTAAATGACAGTGTCAAATGACAACTGCACTCGTGTGGAGCATCCGAGGGGCGGAAGTTAGTTAAATATTGATTTTAATTTTCCACATAATTGCAATTAGTTGATGAATGCGGAGCCAGCTGTTGCAGTCCTCTGCTCCTGACGGTGTCTGATTCTGATTAAACATGGTGTCGGGGAAACATCACAAACAGGAACGGATGCAATAACAGGCATTCAACGAGAAATCGTGTTGAGGAGCCATCATGATGGAGGCCCTGAGTGGCACAGTGGTCAACGTCCCTATAAATATTTTTAAATACATAAAGCAGTCAATAAAGCGAGAGTAAACTAAATCGCATAGGAAACCAGTAAAGTATGGCTAATAGGACTTTGGAGGAGGATGTCTTTAGTAGGTTGCCAGTAAAGATATCATTCCCCGTGTTTTTCATTATCCAGATTAAAGTTGTTTTATTTTCTATATAAGTATGGTTGAATTAAGTGTAATAAATACAGATATATGGATATATATTAATTTTACTTCAAAAATGTACTTGAACAGATGAGAGATTACGGATAATATGGGTATAGATTTTCTCATTTTTCCACCCTTTCCACTGTGCACAAGTTCTCGTTATTCCCTTGGCAGCAACGCCCTTTTGCTGTTCCTCATTTGGTTTCTGCTGCTGTTTCAGAATTTCCTCAATTCGCCTTCTCACAGAACTCTTGTCAGGAGGGGGCCATGATGAAATGCCACTTACGCACAATTTTCACAACTCAAAAGCATTTTATTGATTGCACTTTAAAAACGCCGGGTTGAGGGCGAAACCAAAACACTCATACGCCACGTTGGCTGGCATACTGCTCCAGTGAATTTTGCAGACCCTTTCACAAATGTGCGTGTGAGCTGGGTGCGTTTATTGACTGTCGTTTTTGAAATTGAGTTTTTCTGGCTCTTAGATGGCACCACCTCCCCTTCCAGCCGAAATAAAGTTGCTTAAACTTTGGGGTCTTTCCTTGGCTCGGCTGCAAAAGGCAATTTAGCCCTCGAGCTCTCAGCCAGATGTATGCAAATGTGGATGGGGCTCGCCAGAGAAATCAAAGTCATTTTTGCTTGCTTTTTTATTCAATCTTGCTGCTGGTTAGATAACACATTTGCCTTCGGAAAACTCCTTATTTTCCGGTGCCCGTGCCCCTCGGGGTTAATTGTGCGAGATGGCTAATGAACATGAAAATAGGGCAGCATCTGACAGCTGCGTTTTGAGGCTCAGCTTGTTAATTGTTTTTGGAACCGTTGAGTGAACATTAATAAGATGTAAATTCGAGGAAACTAGAAAAGTCTGGGCTGGGGGTTTTATAATTGCTAATTGGGGTTTGGATTTTGGCCTATGAAATATGAGTAGAAAAGTTTAATTGGTTGTAGAAATAACTTTGATTGTTAATTGATATGCTAATGAGTATACCTAATGATAATACATGTGCAGTAACAAAAACTTAAGAGATTCTTTTGCGGTAAAACTTTTAGTTTAAATTCTTTTACTTGTTTAATTTAACGTATTCAAGATAATAGTTTTTTGCTTGTTTTAGTAGAGATTCGGTACGATTTTGTAGTTAGTAAATAATAAGTTTTCTGTAAACAGGTTATGTAAACTAAAATATCAAGATTAAACACACAAACCCATCTATTTGGCTATAAATGAAGCTTTGGCTAATATGAAGTGTTGTCAAAGCATTTTACTAATTAATCGAACATCGATCCATTGCGACACACATTGTCTCACTTTCCTGATGTTTCCCATAAAGTAATTTATGCGAAATCAAGCCATCTCCAGCTTCGATGTATCTCAGCACTATTCATTGCCCTTATATGGCTGTGCATTGTTTGCAAATCGCTTAATTATGGTTGATGGCATTTTATTGGGGCATGGAGCCATAAAAGTTGGTCAGATCCCCTGTTCTTTTTGGGCATACATCAATAATGGTCGTATCCATTTTCTCCTTCCTGCCTCAATAACTTTTGCTCTTCCTCTTCCCCTTCCCGTTCCGCTTTCTTTTTTGCCTTGTGAATTTCTCCTAGTTGCCACGACCTAAAAGCATAAATTTCCCGTGGCTAGGCCAAAATCAACGCCAAATGCTCTAAACGTTTTGCTTATGATTTTTATTGCACGCACACAAACGCAAACTTATTCAGATCCATACAGACATATATATATATAAATTTATATATATATATAAATAAAATGGTATGTTTATATATAAACCCTGTGTAGACATTTTGCCGCAGACCCAAATGCGAAGGCTTCAGAAAAAACTGAAAAAGGCGGCCCATGACGATGACTTGTTTATGGCAGTTGGCAGCCACGCCTCTTTTATACTTGGTGCGCCTATATGGGCGAGCACTTGGTTTATTTCATTAGGTTTCCTTTGATGAGACGGTTTTCATAAAATTCCGTGAAATGCAAAAATCATAGCATACTTTTTGGAGAAGCATAAGAAACTTAAAATTCACTGCTTGTTATCATGCCACACGAAGAATTTAGAATTATTGATTGGAAATCACTTGTTTTCTAATCTTTGGGGAAGTGATTTAATTTCACCGAATAAAACTGCCTGGGAAAATACCTACATCCCACAGAGTGGAAATTCCTGCGGAGCGATAAAATCGCCAAAGTACATGCAAATGAAAACTTTAAGTTATGCGAAGTATCCACCATTCGTGGCTTCAATTTGGCCTTATCTTGGCGCTATTTTTTCTGTTGGCACTTGCCAAACAATGTCAGTTCTCAACTTTTAGCGCATTTTTCAAATTAGGTTAGCGGAACAGCAGGGGGAGGGGCGCAGGGTGAAAGGATGTCAGGATGGCGGGGTGTGCGGGTGCTGGTGCCAGTGAAAGTTTTCTTATTGTTTCGGGCGGAAGGGAAAGGGCTTGGCGGTAGGCTTGTTAGCATCCTTCCTTCCTGCGCTTCCTGCGTAAGAGCCACCAGCTGCTGCCCGTTTAACCTTAATGTTAGGGGCAAGCCAGAACCACACCCTTCACACCCATGAACTCCTCTTTTAGTCCAGAGAAAATAAAAAGGTTCGTTTTTGAAATGAAAAATTCTTAAATATGTGAACGTGTTATACAGACTCTGAAAACTAAGGTCATATATTATTGTTTAATGCTAATATTTATTAAATATTTGCTCTAGTTCTAAGTTTTGACCAACAAAGCTAGTGTTCATATATAAGAGTGCAACTATTTTGAATTGTTTGTACTTGGCATTCCACGGTAATGTTGGCCATATTAAAGTAAAAGTAAATCAAAATATGGCTACCAAAGCTTATGTATTCCTCTTTGTGTATCCACATTTGCGCACTGTTCCATTTTGATGTGCACTTATTTTTCAATTTGAGCGCGTAAGCATCCATCGTCCTGTCAGTTTGGGGTCTCATTCAAACCCGTCCCAGGACTTGGCACTTCAACGTCATCTCGGAGAATTATCAGTGACTGCGTCAGCATCTGAATATAAAGCTTACCTGCCCTCCACCCGTCCAGTACTGTACAGCGAATCCCTGGCTTTCTATCTTTGGGTGGCCTTTGTTCTTGGCCATCTTTCAGGCAGTCGGCGTTGGCCAAGTTTTATGCTCGCTTTTTATGCCAACACGCCCCGTTGAGCAATTGTTGTTGCTTCTATGGTTGTTTTTAGTGCTCTTCTAATGAAATTTTTAAACGATTTCGTTTCACTTCATGGCCAGCAGCAGATTGAAAAGTGAGAATTGCCAAGAAGTTGCAAGGAAAATTCCAAGAAATTATTTCTGTCTTTTTGCCCGCCTTTCTAGACCCTAAAAATGATTGCCCTACGTAAGTTAGTCCTAAAGGGTTAATTCGGTGAACTCGTAAATCAACAGTGTATTTTATTAATTGAGTTAATTGCTTCAATGATTGTATTTAATTTTATTAAATTGCAGAAGCATTTGAATAATGATAGAGATGAGTGCCTAGAATATTATATTAGCTATTTAATAGTTTTAGTCATTACAAAATATCTCTTTATGTCTAGTATGTACAATGCCACAAAATCGCAAGAATACTTAAATACAGATTATATTTCGAAGCTTATTAATTAAACAATCCATTAGGTGCGAACAATCAAAAATTCCTTCTGTTTCAGCTTTCTCATAATTACCGAAGTACGAATCCCTTTACTGCACAAACAACTACTATGAGCAGAATGTGTACCTTTAATTAAACCTAATGGGCAAGTAATTGAAAACGAAACACTTCAAAGGCTAGAGATTATTACGAAATTTAAATGAACCAACAGACACTGAAATAGATGTGCTTCTCACCTGATTATGTGTGTATGTGATGGTTTTCTGGCTTGCAGGAAGCTGTCGGAGTCATAAATTCTCTCCTGAAATGGCCAAAAGCAGAAGCCAGCACACAGGCACAGCTGGAGGGTTTTAATTAGAACACCTGACTAAAGTACACACAACCTCACGAACATAGTTATCCGGCAACATAGTTAGTTTCCATTTATTTCAATTAAAAATTCAGTTTGGCCAAGGGGGAACATAAATATTCATTGGTAATCACATTGACCTTACTAACTCTCTCTGTCTCTATCTCGCTCTCTCTCACCATCGTTTCGTCTCCCTCTCTCTCTCTCTCGTTTTATTGCAGCCACTATTTTGTGATGAAGTCATGTGGAAATAGCAGTACAATTATAGGCAAAAGTTAATTAAACGCTGCATCATTTGCAAACTGCAAAAAGGAATTCTTAACAATCGCAATAAAACTTTTGTCGAACAAAAGTAATTAAAGGACCTCACACCCATACCCACACCCATACCCACACTCACTTGCAGCTATGCGACAACAACGTTGGTAGGCGTGGCAAGGGGGCAAGGCGGCGAGGAGGCGAGTGGGGCCAGGCGGAGCACAGGAGTACATGGCCAGGAGTCAGCTGACGCTGCCAGCCGCAAACAGCTAACAGCTAACACCCAGGAGCCCCAAGCAGCGGGCGCCAAGGACGCAGGGCGCAGGACGACAGGACGCAGGACGAAGTCGAAGTCGAAGCGACGGCCAACAAAATGCAGAAGGAGAACAATGTCACGGCGGAGAATTGCCAATTTGTGGGGCCCTATCGCCTGGAGAAAACCCTCGGCAAGGGTCAAACGGGTAAGTGCCGGAAAACTCTTTCCTTTTACGATATACTAAGTGGGTGGTGGCTGCATCGGGTGAAACTATCATTGCATTTATTAGGCGGAGTGGCTATTCACTCGGGACTTATTTACTGTAATTGCATTTTAGTCTGCTATAACTATTCGAAGTCCTGAAGCAACTTTTTCCAAGTCCTTAATATCAGACAAATGATTCAATGAAACTAATGAAAATAGAACAACTTTAAAATATAACAATTTGATAATTTTAATAACTAAATATACTTCGAATCTGTTCGGCCAGTAAAAAGCATTTGAATATTATTATTGCAAAACAATAATTGCAATTAAATTACAGTTCAATCGATTAAAGTCGCTCATAAAGTTAAAGCACATAGCCATTCTAGTGGTTTTTTCCAACTGAAATCACCCTTTTCCCACTTGAACTTGGCAACAACTTAGGAAAAGCTGCCATTCTCGGAACAGCAATTGCCATTAGGATTCCTAACTTATTCTTATTGTTTCGCAGGTCTCGTCAAGTTGGGCGTGCATTGTGTGATTGGCAAGAAGGTTGCGATTAAAATAATCAATCGCGAGAAACTCAGCGAATCGGTGCTAATGAAGGTGAGTGGTTTTGCGGGGTCGAAGGTCGCGACGCGATGAAAAGTTTCGCTGGCATCGGTTTATTGTTTTCCCGCAGCTTATGATTTTGTTTTTCGTTTTCTCCTCCTATTTCTTGCTTGTTTCTTGTTTGTCTTCTCCTGGCGTACGGGTCATAAAAAACTGTGACAATAAAATTTGTTTTGTGGTTCGTTGTTTTATTGCCCTGCTCCGTGTTTTTTGGGCTTGATGAAGGGCGGATCCGCGGAGCTGGCGTTGCAGTCAAACTTACAGCCATTTGGACTTTTGGTCTTATATGACATGATAGGAAATGGGGATATGCTCTGGGGATTTAACTGGCTTGTGGCTTCCATTGCCTTCGGATCGGCGGTGCGCCAAAGTCAAAAGGAACTTTCCATCTTTAGTGGGACTTACAAAGTCAAAAGGATACTTTCCATCTTTAGTGGGACTTACAAAGACAAAAGGATACTTTCCATTTTTAGTGGGAGTTACAACTTTTCAGATACTTTGTGTTTGTCCTTTAAGATTTTGATCAAGAAAGCTTCTCTTACGTAAATATCAATTATAATTCAAATGTGCGGCAAATTATCTATGGTTTATTTGTTCTCTTATCGATTTTCTGTCATACTGGAGAACGCACCACCTCCATTGTAATGCGTGTCAAGCACAAACACCCTTAATAGATTTCATTCATTCATTCACTACCAATAAAAGTCAGAGTAAAGCTCAACTATTTATCTTTTCTCTGCTGTCATAATAGAACCATGGAAAGGTTACCCCACCCACAATCACTGTTCTATATCTGCCGAAAATGTGGTGCACTTTTTTGTAGGACACTGAAAGGACATGGGACAAATTAGTGCGTGCGACAACCAACTAAAACAGAATTGACTGCCCTCCGCTTTTGGGGTGGAGTTTCTGGGGGTGGGAAAAGCTCAGACATGTAGCACAATCGAAATGCAAGGTGAGGTCGAGGGGTGCAAATGAGGATGAAGAACCGCCGATGATTGCGTGCGGTGTCCATGTTGTAGGGCCAGCTGGTCGGGACACGCAATGAGAAATCGGACGCCATTCGGAGGACAACAATGGGCTATTATGGTCGGCCCAGCACCAGGCACTTTGAGTGCATTCTAAGGATAAGTGCACTTATCAAAATACTTGGGAGATAGGATCAGTTTTTAATAGCTTGAAGCCAAATTATACGTTTTTTAAATAATATTTATGCCTAAGTTTGCTACTTAAGCTTCTCAATACACCATGTGAAAGGTTATTTGGGGATTGGGCCAATTCGTTTCTGTCTTTCATTTGTAAACAATGTTCAGTTCTTATTTTGGATCGGTTTTTCTCCGAGTGTGGGTACGGGGATTTACGAGGAACCTGGCAACATTGTCGATAAGTCGATTAAAACCGCTTGTGTGCTCCACTCTCCCCTCCTCGCACAGGTCGAACGTGAAATCGCCATAATGAAACTAATCGATCATCCACACGTCCTTGGCCTGAGCGATGTGTACGAGAACAAGAAGTATTTGTATTTGATATTGGAGCACGTATCCGGCGGAGAGCTCTTCGATTACCTGGTGAAGAAGGGTCGACTGACGCCGAAGGAGGCGCGCAAGTTCTTCAGGCAAATCATCTCCGCCCTGGATTTCTGTCACTCGCATTCGATTTGGTAAGTGCCTGTTGAAAGCTTCCCGTCCGAACGGCAATCAATATTGGATTTACTCTGCGTTCCAGCCATCGGGACTTGAAGCCGGAGAACCTGCTGCTGGACGAGAAGAACAACATTAAGATAGCGGACTTTGGCATGGCTTCCCTGCAGCCAGCTGGCAGCATGCTGGAGACCTCCTGCGGCAGCCCACACTACGCGTGTCCAGAGGTCATACGGGTGAGTCTCCCAGTGAAAAATGGCCAAAAGATTGCCGGCCCAGGCAGGACCTGGCATCCCCCAATCCGCACGAGTGCGGCAACGCATAAACGTCAATCAAGGCGAACTTTTTAGCACATTTTCAGATGCAGCAAGTCGGGGGAGGCGGCTCCTGGAGTCGCTTTCCTATGCAAATTTCGTCAGCTCCCTTCTATGCAAATGCACGTCATGTGCGCATATGATTTCCCAGCTCGGGATGCACTGCGTTCTGTACACCCAGCAAAAAGTTGCGATTACCCCTTGAAGCGTTCGATTTTCCGCCAAGGATAAAAGAGGTCCTTAGGTTCTCCGGGGAAGCATTTTATTGCGAGTTAAAAGTCAGTTATTTTCAGTTCCAGCATTCTTCCATTTAGAGAAACACTTTCAGTTACTGCAATTATTGCTATACAACACCTAAATTTGAAAGCAAGCTAGCTATTTACTTTGCCCCCAAAGTAGCTTCTGCATTGTTTCTTACGTACTTATTAAGGACACTTTATCAGAATTCTCGACCTTAGAAACATCCTGCAGCCTTAAGAAAGTGTAGACAGCAATTTCGCAATTTTCTTAGTGTAGCCTGCATCATATCCTTTAAGCAGGAGCTGCTGCAGCTTCTGGCAAATCTTTATAGCTCCTGCACCCGTAATAAATTCATAAGGGGAATTTTAAAATATCTCCTCGTTCAGTCTCTGGTTATAAATCCAGCTTGGTACGTGATGTTTAGCTTATCTGCACGTACATATATGTTCTTTTATAAATATTCAACAGTCAGAGTTCCCTCCCAACTTCTAATTGATGGCTGCTAACCAAATCTGCACTGCAAGGGAAAAACCTTGACAATTTGTGGGGGAAAACTGCGTGGAAAGCCCATGTACTCAATCACATAAGTGGTCGTTTATCAATCTTTGGGAGCTGGTTGGGTCTGGAATAAGCAGACAAGACTTGGTTTGGGTAATCGAGCGTATACCACACTTATAATCTTACAAATTTGAGTTTCGGAAACTCAAACTGCCAACTGTTATTGGAAACATAAGAGGTTGTTATAGATTTTCATTCGTCATCGGAATAAAACACCATTTCTTTAAAAAAGTAAGCATTTTATTAGAAGGTTGTAGGTAAATAGTAAGTACTGTAAGTACTTCAAATGACTCAAATTCTCAGGGATACAAAAATCAGTTGAAATGCTTTTGGAATCATTAAAAAATAACAGACCTTCGTGCTCCAAGACTTAAATATCTCGCATTAAGCGGCTACTTCGTGGCCAGTTATTTGCAATCGTGCTACAATTACACATTGTAGTGGCAACAAACTACGAGTCAGTGTGCCATTTACCTGCGAAGTCAATGACCGTCCCCTAGGAAAACCACGATTCGTCGGAGTGGGGCAAACTTGGCATTTGATGGACACGCCGATGGACGTCAACGAGTTGAACAGGCCAGCCCTGTCCGTCTTTGCATAGAAAACTTTTTAAATTAGTAAGCATTCGAGTGGGGATTATGGCAATCCCATACGAATGTGGTTCTATAAAAAAGGGATAACGATTGGGGGCCACGCACAAGCGCCAATCGAATTTCAAAATAATCAAGCTGAAAGCAAACATAAACCGAATATCCAGCAAACAAACGAATGCTTGTCTTGGAAATGTCTCAATTTCTGATTTCGCATTTCCCCCATTTCCCCATTATTATTTTTCCAGGGCGAGAAGTACGATGGCCGCAAGGCGGATGTCTGGTCCTGCGGGGTCATCCTCTACGCCCTCCTGGTGGGTGCGTTGCCCTTCGACGACGACAACTTGCGCCAGCTGCTGGAGAAAGTCAAGCGCGGCGTCTTTCACATACCGCACTTTGTGCCGCCGGACTGCCAGAGTCTGCTGCGCGGCATGATTGAGGTCAATCCGGACCGGCGGCTCACGGTGAGTCATCCGCACCTCATCTCCACCACCCCGCAATGCAGTGGTGATCTGATACGACAATGAACTTGTGTTCCCAACGATTTTTATAGCAGAAAGTGCAATAATTTCCCCCAAAGCGGTTTTAACTTTGTAGACCCGAAGTTGCTTAATTTAGTTTAATTTCTGTTAAATTTCTTAAATTTCTTCTTGTTTAATTTGGTTTAATTTCTGTTAAATTTCTTAAAGCGTGTTGTTTAATTTAGTTTAATTTCTGTTTAATTTCTTAAAGCGTGTTGTTTAATTCAGATTAATTTCTGTTAAATTTCTTAAAGCACGTTTTTTTAGGCTAATTGAAATATTGTAGCCTGTTGCGTGTTTTTTTTTGAGTGTGGGTGGTGAGTCATTTTGGAAGCCACCCCCCAAGTGTTCGTTGGTTTTTGGGTCACCACGTTGCCAGCTATTTTACCCACCCCCTTTGGACTTCCGCCCCTCAACTCGTTTTTGCTTCCTTTCCGACCGCGTCCAGCTGGCTGAAATCAACCGCCATCCGTGGGTCACGGCTGGTGGCAAAGGAGAGCTGGAGCTGGAGCTGCCCATGATGGAGGTGGTGCAGACACACGTTATTCCCACAGCCACCGCGGTGGATCCGGATGTGTTGAACGCGATTTGCTCGCTGGGCTGTTTCAAGGAGAAGGAAAAACTCATCCAGGAGCTGCTCAGTGCAAGGTGGGTTTGAAAGTCCTGAATATTTTACTACGAATTTTATGTAACGCTATCGTTCTCGTACTCAACAGTCACAATACGGAGAAGGTTATATATTTCCTGCTGCTCGAGCGCAAGCGAAGGCGACCTGCGCTGGAGGATGACGATGAGATTGCGCAAAAGTCCCGAAGCGAACTGGATGCAGTGGATCCGCCGCGTAAGCGTCTGGACACCTGTCGCATCAATGGCACCAATGCACCCAGCTATGGACAGATATCGGAAGGTTCGCCGCTCACGCCAAGACGACAGGCCTTCAAGTGAGTATCTTCATTTAAAATATAGCTACATAAGCCTTATCCTTAACTTCTTTCAGCTTCCGATCGTACAGCAGCACCCGGAACCACCAACGTCGATCGCCCACAACTGTTTCCTCGTCGGTGCGGAGCTCCTCATATCACAGTCCCACGCGCTGCAACTCCCCGATGAGTTCGGCGCAGCAGCAGGCGAATGCCATATCCCGACCATCCTCCCCGGCGGCGGGCACCCGGCACTCCACATACGGGGATCGAGATCGCTCCGGACACCACTCCTCCGTCAGCCGGACGCCGTCGCACAGTTCGCAGAAGAGCATCGAGGGCGATGTGGTGGTGGTGCGGGAGCCGCGGATCGAGCGCAGGGATTCACTGCGTCAGGAGCGCGGCGGAGGATCGCCGCGGGAGCGAGGCGATTGCGGCATACCGCCGGGCAGTCCGGGTGGAAACTCGAGCGGATCCACCTCTGCCTCGCCGTCGGTGCACCACCGTGCCAACTCAGGTCCGACCATTGCCATTAGTATGTTCCACGATCCAGATTCGAATAGTGGTGTGTGCATGCCCCGTAGAACCCTTAAAAGTAGCAAACTGGTACAGAAAGAAGATCCGAATACATGAAGAAGTATTGGATCTTGTTTCATGTACTAAAAACCGACCTGTAATGGCTATTTTTGTGTTTTCAAGTGCCAAATAAGTAAATTGCATATTTTTATCCGTAACATGTGCTTGAAATTATCAGCTTAGCCAAAGGACACGTCGGTATCACGTTTTCCGTATAGTTCTGGAATAATCTTTACATTCCTCCCTTACAGTTGTGAATCCCAATGGGTCGCCCATGATGAACAACAGCAGTCCGGGAATGCCCGGATCTCCTTGCAATACACCCGGTGGTCAGTTGTGGAAGACGCGGCTGACAAACATCAAAAACAGTTTCTTGGGCAGTCCGCGGTTCCATCGCAGAAAAATGCAGGGTGGGTGTTGCTACTAAGTTGCAGAAGAAAACCAGAATAAAACTACAAATATCTTTGCACAGTTTCTGCCGATGAGGTGCACTTGACGCCCGAATCTTCGCCAGAGCTTACGAAGCGCTCCTGGTTTGGAAATCTCATAACAACCGAGAAGGATGAGACCTTTACCATTTTGGTCAAGGGCAAGCCCATTGCCACAGTAAAGGCGCATTTGATACACGCATTTTTATCCGTAAGCAGCTACATAAACAATAAACAATTATTATATTATATATTAACTTACTGCTTGCTTATAGATGGCCGAACTATCTCACAGTGTGGTGTCGCCCACCTCGTTTCGGGTGGAGTACAAGCGGAATGGCAACGGACCTGTCATGTTCCAGCGCCACGTTAAGTTCCAGGTGAGTTCGAAAACCATCGGCCGGAAGGAACTCAGTGTGCTAATAGGATGTGTATGGTTTCAGGTCGACATCAGTGCCATTTGCAAACAAGGCGACATAGCAGACATGTTGTTTGCATTGACATTTACGCTGCTGTCAGGTAATCAATGCCTCGTTGCTAAACTATCTATACAGTCTCATTGAACTGCTTGCTTGTGCAGGTAACATTCGGCGTTTTCGGCGCATATGCGAGCACATCCAATCCCAGGTGTGTTCCAAGCGGTTCCCGGGTCCCAGTAGTCCGCCAACGGTGACCAGCGTGACCCAGGCGGTCTCGGAGAGCTCCTCCTGCGGATCTGTGTCCAGCGAGAGATTGTCGTACAAGCGCCAGGTGGTAAGGACCCTTGAAGAGCAACTCCGCAGAGCGTGAAACTAACTGAATTGCTTTTAGATTGAAAACGACATGGAGAACGACTCCATATTCTCGTACAAGTCGGGCAATGGACGTAGGGCCTCGACCACGAACAACAATAATGCCAATCCAGTTGACATACCCGGAAGTCCAATTGCGGTGCGGTCCAAGTAAGCAGATCGTTCTCAAATACTTTCAAAGCCAAGAGAATCATATTGTTTTGTTTGGCTTAATTAAATTATTTATTTTCCCATTTCTTTCAGTTCCGAGACCGCTGAGCACGAACGCAACCGCGAGCTGCAGAGTGAGCGTCAGGCGACAACGATGTCCGGTAGTGCAATCGCATGAGAATTATTTCTCTGATTTAGTTACATTTTTCTCAAGGACATTTGTTTCCATATGGCACTAGTGAGCAACAAACGCAAACAGATATTGTAAACCAACTGGAGAACGAATCAGCCACTCAACAGTATTTTTTCTAGAGTACCATCAGCCAGAGATCTTCAAACTAAGTGAACACACACGAAATCCGATTAATATAACAAAGCAATAATAGTGGAATTTATATGAAATAGCATATGTAACGAATCTGGACTTTTGAATGCCGATCGATAAACAGAACTTTGCTAGCTGCTCTAGCTTTTATCGAACTTGATTTTCTATTAATTGTTAATTTTTGATTGACTTTTTGTATATGTTCTTTTGAGGGACATTGTTGCCGCCGCGCCTAAAAAGCTTGCAAATATAAACACCGTGTAAAAATATACAAAAATCAAGTTACCACTAGCCTAAGTCGAACCAGTTATTCTAGTCATTTTCTTTACCTAGACTAGGCATCGTATTTAGCTACGCAAATGAGGATTGCTACTCAAGAAAATTCGCTGACGATTTGTATAGAGTGTATAAAGGATATTACGCAAATGCACTGATCTTTAAATACTAACTAAAGTAACAAAAGAGAAACAAAAAACAAGATAACTTTTGCATTACCTTAGCGTTGCTGTTTTTTCTAACAAACCAAATCGATATAACTATTTTGCTAGCCATAAAAATAAAAACAACAACCGACGAATCAGGACGGAAAACGCAAACTATTTTTCCTAATAAAAGTACTAAACAAACGCGTCAACTTTCGAACTTCAGACATGCATATATGACGATCAAAAGAGTGTTGTGCGGTAGATAAACTCAACAGATATTGATAGGAATGAAGGAAAACAAAAATATATAATGTACATAAGACACCGAATTACTAAAACGGCACAGCACATGCCCAATAAAGCATGCACACCACATTAAGGTAATGACATTAAATACCAGAAACAATATATTTTGCATGGGTATGAAATAAAGCTTTCTTAACCGATACTTGTATAAATCGATTGGGACGAAATATATATCTATGTATAGAAGAGGTCGGGGATTGTACAAATTGCTGGGTTGCATCAGAGACAAAAAAACCTAGAAGAGAAATTCAATTGGAGGTGGTATATTTTTTATTGAAAAGCAAGTAGAGCAAACAAGCTGTCCAAGAATGCACAAATCGCAATGCTATCGACCTTCGACCTACGATAGTCTTTCTCTCAGTGTATGACGTGTTTCGCATGGCAACCCCACTAACAATCACATTGAATCTTTCCCTACCCTACTTTTGAGTGGTTTTCATAGTTTATAGATTCTTTTCTAGCACCCAAGCCAATCAGAGTTCTTTATATACCGCATACGATGATTTGAAACTAAAAGACTTAAGAAATCGACATAAAGCTAATGAAATCCAAACAAAAAACCGTCCATTTATCCACTTAAAGCTAACAACAATGTAGGAGCACCTCAGCAATTTGTGGAATCTACTGGATAAGAATGTAAGGGAAAACTGAATATTGTTTGTAACGTGTAAAAGGATATAGATCTATACTGAAACTGTGTATGACAGCAATATCAAAATAGTCAGAGGGGACGTATGAAGCGATACTAAAACGTGATTAGAACAAATATTAAACGACAAATTACGACAAGTTAATAAATGCTTAATGATAAACCGAGTTAAGGTCGCATAAAACACAATAAATATTAAACATACCTATTTAGGAGTATTGAATCAGTACTTGGAAAACACACACGAGAACGAACTCAAACAAGAATCATGCAATAATATTGAAATGAAATTACTTTCTAGCATTAACTACGATACATCAAATTATTTATCGCTCATCATATGGAAAATACTCAAGAAGAAACGCATTTAAGCTGAACACACATTCAAAATTAAGCTCACCGACTTGAAGAGATGGCATTCATATATTTATACATGCATATATCATATACACCTCGATCATATTGTATTCTGTATTTACTTTCATATACAAGAACAAAGTCCTACCAGCATACCCAACATATACGAAGTATACATCTATATGCCTCACCTGCATTCGTACATCCATATATATTTACATACAAGCGCATTTAATACAAGTTACATTTCATCACCAAAATTGTACCATAAGAAATGTAAAGATCATATTTTTCGCTCGATACTAAAACCTAATAACACTACACCTAAGCATTACTAAACGCTCTGCAAACTAAACTCCAATCGCGGCTACGAGCAAAAGTATAACGATAATTGCTTTATAAGGACTCCAATCCAAACACCTAGTACTCAAAGCTGCATTATGCCACGCCTACCTTTTTACCTTAACTGAAGCCTATACTAGATGATCAACCAATCTTTCGCGCTCTTCTCAAAAACATAATCACCACCAAGCCCAACTAACTCATTTTAACTGCTTCGCACCGTGCAATGAGCAGCGAATATTTGCGCCGAGATAATTTTATATGCAACGTATACATATTTCTATCTATAGTATATATATACACCCCGATATGTATACATATACACGCATTATACACCAAAGCAAGCGCTTTACTTCAGATGCAAATGTAGTGCAATGGAGAATGTTTATTACTCATTACAAAATAAACGATTCGCATACTTATTAAAATACATTTAGAGGGTAATGTTGTGTATTGTACTACGCTTTTTACGTTGTTGTTTTCGTTTTCCCCTGCGTTTCAACATAATATTCTAATATTGTAATTAGTTCTGCAAGTGATTACGGCTAAGTTAAATACTGCATTGTGCGCTTTGTTTTGTATCTTCGGATATAAGTTGAATGATTGTATTTTGTAATTTAATTTTAAGCTTGAGGAATCGCGTCTGAGGTGGATGAATCGGAGACAGGCCGAGATCGAACCATACAAGAGATAAATATTAGAACCAACAAGTGTAAGGGAAACGACAAAACCAAAACAAACAAAAACAAAACAAGAACAAACCAACAAAGTGGCATCTGTTATTAGGTTAAAAGAATTATTGATATTGTTTGCAAGAAAATGTGTGAAATATATATAAATACAAATAAAATACCACTTAGCATAAAAGCAAACCGTGAACAGACAAGCAAACAACAACAGATTGTAATTGCAATTTAAAAATAAAATTAATATTTCAAATAATAAATAAGGCTTTTTAAATACTGCGAATGGAAAATTCTATGTGGCGTAATTTTATTTAAAGTAAGCTATTTTAATCTGTTATATTTTTAATAATCTATTTTAATCTGTTATTTTTTGTTATTTTTTTTGGTTGAAATCATAGTTGTTATTATTACTTATTTTAATTCATTAAATTAAAGAAACTGATTTTTTAAAGTAAACTACCTTCTAATATATTTGTTTATGTGTTGTTTTTTTATATTATGGTCCTTGTTTATTATATTATAATTAAAAGCGCATCAATTATATATCAAATATCTGTTATCTGTATTTGTATTTAATTTCAATTTTAATATATAGAGGTTGCTCACTAAAATCGCCTAAATACCCATGTTACCACTTTTGTGCTTTGGAATGCGTATCCGTCCCACTGTGCCACGTGCATCCGCAAAGGATTACGTCACTTGCCGCCACGTCTCCATCGACACGGAGGCTGACCCTCGGCCATCAGCTGTTTCTACGGACGAAGGATGCCTGGGAGCAGCGGGGCGGGGGGCAGAGGGGCCAAATGCCGCATGCACTGGCGGCAATCAGCTGTGGAGCTTTGGGGCACTCGGAAAGCTGCCCAAGCCGAGGAGCTTCGGAGAGAGCCGGCGGAGAGCTTTGGCTCCGAACGGAAAATAGGAGGCGACATCGAAAAGCAAGCGGCGCACCAGAGACTTTTCGGTGTTCGCCGCGCTTCGTCATCCTGCTTTTCCGCTTTTCCGAATCGAATTTTCCGAAATGCGTGCCAAAGTGCATGAAAAGGAAAACTTGGTCAGTTGAGGTCTCAGTTCGGGTCGGGTTTGCAATTCAACAGCACTGCGGAAGCGGAGAAAACTCGTCACCACGGACCACGGACGGCCAAACAATAAGCCAGCGTAGTAATATCGACTTCACACCGCCCTCGATATATATATTATATATACTTGTATGATATTCGCAAGAAAACGGTATCGGAATGAAATCCAAAAGTGCCAACCCATTTAGGGGCTAATCAAATGTATGGGAAAATGATTGAAAATCGCGTGGAAATTGCAGTGTGCGAATTGAAATGTGTATTTGTGTTTTGAATTTTTAACGCTCAACCCAAGTGTTTCCATTTTTTGCAGTGAGTGAGTGAGCGAGTGAGTTATGTAAAGCTCTGGTGTTGGGTTCTTTTTGGTCTTCGCGTTGGGTGCGGGATAGTAACCCACACCACCGCCCACAACAATAATAACAACAGCAGCAACAACAACAATTGTGCCAACTGCACCACCAACAACAACAAAAAGAACAACGAGCGTGTGAAGCGACAATAAGCGTTGCAAGATTGAGTGGCTTCAAAAAATGTGGTCATTAAAAATTAAAACGTGAGAATTAGGATGCAAAGCAATGGGATTTCAGGGCAGGATAGTCCTGGCGCTGGAAATGAAGTATACGCACCCACGGATTGCTGCTAATGTATGCATGAACTTGAAAACCTGACAATTTTAGTGCATTTTGGCGTGCCAAGCGATAATAAGTTTATGATGTACTTAAAAATATTTAAGAGCCAAGGAAATTTATCATGGCCAAGGAATCAGAAAAAACAGATTTAAAATACCTAAGTTTACAGTTTATAAAACCATAATTTGAGCACAATTTTTAAATATCTGAGGGGTAGGCAGTAGTTTAAGTACGCTTCCTTACTTTTTTTTTAATAAAATACCTAACTTGAAGACAATATTTCAAAGAAATTTAAAATTTCACCGAAATATATAAATAGAGGGGCTCAAAAGTTTTTATTCGAGATATTAAGTATACGCACCAGAGCCCAAAGCTTGCAGCACTCAGAAATTACAAATACGAAAAAACATAAATGACCTACCAGCAACTACCAAAAAGTAGCAAATAAATATATGTTGCAAATTAAAAAATATATATTTGAAAAACTCTGCCAGACATGCAATCCAGAACTTAAGCTAAGAAAAGTCTGCCCCAGACCCACTAAATTTTACATGGAGCACCAAGCTATCGCTGCTTACCCCGCGTGTGTAAATCAATCAAAAGCCATTTTCAGTGGCTTCAATCCCCGGCAATCAGCCCATTGAGTAAGCTTTGTATATCATAACACAATCAGTTGGGGTATCGGCATCAATTACCAATTATAACTTGACAATAAAATCGCCAAGTGTCCGCATAAAGAGCCCAAAAGCCACACACACACAGCCGCCAATCAATTCTCTTTTAGCGGTCTCCGACTATTTTTAGTTGCACTTGCTTTCCTTTTTTCAGGTTTTCGTGTTTTTTTAAGTTTATTTTACTTTGCACAATATTAGTGTCAAGGTGCAGCCAGTGCACAGAGACAGAGATGGAAATAGAGTCTCAGACAGAGACGGCGACAGTCGGGCCAAAAGAACAAGTCAAGAAAGCGCAAAAAGCAGCAAGAAAAGGGGGTTCCCCTTTTCTGGGCGGCGGCGGCGGCGACGACATCGCGAGAAAGCAACACACGAAAAGGTGGCTATCAAAAAATAATAACAAATACAACCACAAGGCGGCGAGGGGAGGGGCGCGGCGGGGCTGGTGCATTTGGGGGTGGCAAGTGGGCGAAAAGGGGGATCTCCTCAAGACTTGTCACATCGAAGAGAAAGAAATTGAATTTATGCCTTGGGTGGGTTGCCTTCAATGACAATTAGGCTGCTACAACCGCAGGTCTCTCTATATATGCTAACGCTAAGAGCACTGGTAACGGTAAAGCTATAGCCAACAGCTAACAGCCAACAGCTAATGCCAACGTAACGGAACCGTGGCGCGTGTTTCGCTGGAAGGTAAATCGCGTTACTAACAACAACAAGGATACGCAGGGCTCAGCTTTCAGGCGGCGACCCACATTACTTAAATTACGAACTACACGCAAAGTCGCCGAAAGCCCACACACAACTGGGAAAAGTCACACACGCTGGTTAGTCATTCCGTCAGTCAGTCAGTCAGTCAGTCAGTCAGTCAGTCAGTCAGTCAGTCAATCATTATCCTAAATGTCCTATGCGTCAGCCAGTATGTGACCTACACTCTAAGGATAGCTCAGTATTTTCGAAAAAGTCAAGCTTTAGGTTTTCCTTTCTGCAAGTTCAAAGTGAAATGTATCTAAAGCCATAGGTGTATTGAAAACATTAGAAATAAGTAGAACTTTAATAGTGAATGGATTAATAACAATACATGACAGTAAATATAATAATAATAACTATAAACACAGTATTCATGATCAGTTTCTTTGAATAACTTTGTATAACTTTGAATAACTTTCTTTGTAATTGAAACTAGGCCTAGAAAACAGAAAATACCTTTCTGGGAATTCGAAACTATCTTTTTGACTAGTGCAATGTGCCCGTCCTTGCCACATTGCGTGCTCCTGGGTGGAGCCTCCGCCACAGAAGAAGTAAAGTGGGCACGGGATAGGGGACCAGGAAACATGTTGCATATTACGGGGCGCGTTGGCTGCTAGACAAAAATGTCGTTTGCGGCGAAATTCCCGGCATTCCAATGCCGTGTTAAGGACAGACATTGAAACAAAGGCATTTGTCTGACCGCCACCCTCGCAGTAATGAGATGAAAAACACCGAAATATACTCAGCATTTCGGCATTTGTGTGGCGACGAGCGGGTGAATTTGTTTCAACAAAAAACACAATTAAATTAGATATAGTGCTCCTTGTTTTTGGCTTGTTAAATGCCGAACCATCACCCATACACATGGTATATTTTCTAGGTTTTGCTTTGGTCCGTAGCTTCGCATTTTTGCATTTCTCTTTGCATTGCTTTGGTTTATTTTTAACATCTTTCCTCGGAGCATGTGAAAAATTTCCCCCTTTTATTACATTGTCTGCCGCAGGTGATGCGAAATAAATGGATGATAAGGCCAAGTCAGACGTTATTTACGATCTCTTTGGTAAATATAGCTACCTTGTTATGGTAGTGAAATTCCGAAAACTGCATCATAAACGCTAATATATATACTCGAGTTGGCAAACGATTTGTCGTATTTACTTATAGACGCAATGCCAATTGAATCCACTGCCAGCCGGGGTTTTTCTCGTATATCATGTTATTTAAGCGCACTATTTTCACGCAAATACTCGTACGCTTGGCAATAATAAAGTGTATAAATAAATAAAAATAGTTCATTGAGGCAGAAGACAAACACGATTTTTACAGCCTGTGCTGTTCATTTGCATTCACATTCAAGAGGTATGCAAAATATATGTCAGTGTAGGAAGTGCTAGAAATTATTTATTAATGAATCGCTGGGAACAGGCAAGTGTACAAATATAGGGTGTATGGACAGTTTAAGGTGGCTGAATCCAAATCAATAATAGAATAATGATTTTGGTATGAGAAATACTTTCTAGACTTATTGGTAAAACAGGTATTGAAAGACTATAAACTTTATTTTTTTGTATATTCTCTATTTCAAGAATTCTCCCTATTTCAAGTTCTCTTTTAAAAAAATACTCTGACAATATACATAGGCACCTATCAAAACAGTACCAACTAATTCCACATATCAATTTTTATTTTCAATGATAAACTTATATTTGGTTCGCAATGGTAATGCAATTTTCGTTCTACACTTTCTTTTCCCTACTCCAATGCTTCATCAAAAAGCCAGATCCAAACTTAGAATCAGATCTCCGAACTATCTGTCGTCCTGCTCAGACACTAGGTTACTTTAAAAACTTGAGCTGCTCTCGACCTTTTCAAGTCTACAGATCCCATTATAAATTTTCTCCCGAGACGCAGCCTGTCGCCCCACCGACTTTTATCTGGGTTCCAACTCTGCATCAGTTTCCATAAGTTTCCACCTCGAGGCAAGTGTTCCTTGCAGCTTTTCCCGCTAACTGCTTGGCAAATTGCTGCCACTTACATAAGCTGCTCGACCATCAGTTACTCAAAGGAAATACAAAAGTTGTTGGCCCAAAAGTGGCGCCAAATGAGCAGCAGCAGAGTGAAGGTACGAGCGGAAAATCGGAAAACTTTAGCATACATTGCTGGGCAGTTAGGACGTCAAAGTAAACAAAGCAATCGTAAAAGACGACTGCGAATGTGGGAACAAAACACACAAAGGAGGAAACAGAAAAAACAGCCAGAAAGAAAGAGAGGGAAATCAGATGGCCAAGCATAAAGCGTCAAAAGTTGGCCAAAATAAGGCGAAATAAAATAAAAACTGAAATAAAGCCGGGGGTGTGAGGCCAGAAGCTGTTGTTTTTGTTGTTCGAGGGGCGGTTTCAAAGGACCTAACGCCCCAACACTGGTGTAAAATCAAAAGAAAAACGACGAAAGCGAAAAAAGAGAAATATACATTTCAAAGTGTCGTACCTTGTCGGCTGTGCGCGAGTGTGAGTGCGAAGCCCGCGCGCGTGTGTGTGTGTGTGTGTGTGTCGTTCGTCAGGCGACGTGATGCGTGTCCTTGCAAGTTTCGGTTCGTCCCCTCTCGCTCACTCACCCCTTCTCGTTCACTCGCACAGGCCACAGCCAGCGGCAAGTGCACATAAGTTGCAACAAGCAGAGTAACAGCTACAACAAAGGCAAAAACAACGTAACAAAATTGGTAAAACAGTATAAACAACACAACATTGTAAGCTGGCTGAAAGGCGTTGCCAGATTGTTGGCCAACGGCAGCAGCAACAACCACACTAGCAACAGCTGCAGCAGCACTACAACGGCTACAACAACGACAACCACAACAATTGCCCAAAGGGCCAAATGAACGTAGTCGGCTAGTCCGTCTGTCGCCCGCCTGGTGGCGCTAGCTAGCTGGCTGAGCAGCAACAACACTGCGTGCTGCCGCTGGAAATCCTGTCGCTAATTAGGTAAGTCACTGCCATTGGGCCGCAAGGAGTGTGTCCTTTGTGGTCAGGAGGCGATGGGCACATTATTTCATTTCGGGGACGGCCTGTAATTATGGTAATTTACGTCAGCCGCGAGTGCAGTAAATGTTACACATACGCCACGTGGCCACTAGCTTATTTTAATTCACAAACGTATTTTATTTTGACCTTGCGGCTTATCTAAGTATTCAGTTGTTCATCGCCTCTATGTGTTCAGCTCCAATATTTTCAAATTTAAATAAAACAGGTTCTTTTTAAAAGTGTATATCGATAGATAGAGCTTTGATCTTAGTGATCTTAAATTAGAAATGGGTACTTCAAATAAATATACATATCATAAATGATAGAAAAAAATCTGTCTATAATCACAGCATTTAAATGAGTAAATTAACATTTACGAAATACTTTTATTGTACAACAATGCTATTAAAAAAAGCTATTAAAATTTTGAGTAAATTATATTCCTCTTTTTCGCAACGAAAGAGAAGAGAAATGTTCCATTTCTTTTAATCGCATACTCCCCTCTAAATCGATTTACAGAGCAGAACGAAAAAGCTGTTGAGCCGATTTTTCCTCATTTTGGAAAAACCGCGTTGCGCCAAATTGAATTTCCTGACTAAAGTGCCACGAGGAATAGGGGGTCATATAATCATGAACGCAGGTGAAATGACGCTGCAGTGTTTGGCTTTCATTTCGTGTTGAATAGAATCATCCATTGCATTATAGCTGGATGATAAATTGCGTTCAATGATTGTAAATTCGGTGTCCAATATTTTCCGGGTCTTCCAGCTGCTCATATTTATTTGTTGTATTTCTCTGGCTATCCAGCCATCAATGGAAACACTATGCAAAATGTACTGTTTCATGCGAAACTGGCCAATTGCAATTTTTCCCATGTTGGAAATGTATTTTTTTCTCAAATTCTTGTTGATTGGGTCCGGAATTGGCAGAAAATGCTATTTTTGCTTAAACGAATTGGTAGCTCGAGTTATTATACTGAGAATTATACTGCGGGAAGTTGTCTAAGGAAAACAATATGCGGCAAAATTAAAATGTATTCAGTTCATAGGAATCGAAAAAGAAATTTTTAAAATTTTTTGATTTGTTTGCGTTGTATGAGACAAGTGTTTCAAGCTCATTTTGAGTTATCCAAGATATGCGTATTCCAAAAAATAGCCATGCTTTTGTATCTGATGGTAAAATTGACCCACATAAAGGCACAGGTAACTGAAAGCCAAGAACATTAAACATGGAGCCTGGGGAAAAGCGGAGGCGATGTTCTGGCCAAATAGAAAATCCACAGCAAAGAGAAGGAAGGCCAGCAGGCATATAAGCGGATATACTGGGGCAACTGGCTTCTCTTTGTCTGGGATCAAGCGGACAATTGAATGGCCCAAAGGCAGCGCCAGCTGGCTTGGCCTTTCTGCAGCGCACTCCTCCACTGTGCAGGCTCTATTTTGCTGCCCCTCGGTGTATCCTTTCTGCTTTCGCGTTGGCGCATCTTTTGTTGTCATAACTGGACGAGCATCACGACCACAGCTGGCAACTTGGCTAATTTATGGTCAAAATAGTGACACACAAGTATATTTTATATAAATTAACTAATAATTTTTTATTTTTTGGTTGTGCTATCGGATTTTAAATTCAATCAAATCAATAACATACATTTCATAACATTTTTCCTCTCTAAGTTATAAAAATTAGATATTGAATTTTTTGTTCTCATATTTTTAGGGCTTACCTAATATTTTGTAAAAGCGTTTATAGTTCCCTACTGTAGTACTGTGTAAAATATGTAGAGCGTCAACAATTTATTAAATTTAACATTTTATTAGGACAATTAAGCTAATTTCTATCAATATGCCAAAAAGAATGTTGCACTTTCTTACTAGCTGAGTGGGGGGTATCTGATAGTCGAGGAACGCGACTACAGCGTTCTCTCTGGTTTTCGAATCACAAGCTGGCAACACTGAGCACTGCTCAGGAAAAGCGGCTCATCCTGTTGGCAGAACCATCTACCAGCTTATTGGCCCTGCTGTGGCTAGTGCATGTGTTATCCTTTTTATGTTTGGACAGCAGCAGCGGCAGGAAAACTGCACTTGTGCAACAACTATCTGCCCGTTCTCGCTGCGCCCTGTTCCCCGTTTCCGCCCTTTGTGTGCACTCAATTTGGCCATTTCTTGCAATTCGGCGCTTTCTTGTGGGACTGAAAGCTGCGATGAATCCCCCCTTTGGTGCCGCAGCCAGAACAAATTTAATCTATTCTGAAAGTTTTCCATGTGCGCCGAGGGAGCTGCAAGTGCTTGTGGGCTGCGGGCTTTTCGGGGCTTCCGTCTTGCCCAAGAACAGGTTGCCAGAAAATGTGACAGTAACTAATTAAGTCAGTCGGGAAATTGCACTCGACGTTTTCCGAGGTGAAAGATGCGCAGGTGTCGGGTGAATTGGTGTGGGAAAATCAAGAGATTCGTACCCGGAATGTGGTTCCTTTCACCATTTTGGCGTGGCAGGACTTCAGTGATTTGATGCACAAAAGCAGAGTGAAATTGGGTCGGTCTGATTTGGTTTTGATGCAATTACCCTCGGAAACCCAATGGAAATTCAAATAATTCGAATAACTCCAAATAACTTGATAGGTAGTTTAAAAATCGGCAAAGCTTACTTAACAAATGTTTAAGCTTCAACTAAAGTAATTATAGTATAAGAGTACAAGTATATTAAGGATAACTATTTTAGATACATCGAAATTGTCGCACCTGAATGCTTTATATAACTTTCCACATGCTCACCTCTTCAACCAATTAATTGCTGGCGGAAACCGATTCCGGCCACGTTCTATCGCATTACGCATGCAACCCCGTGGCTTAGTGTCAAATTATCAGCTACTTATTATTATTACAGTCATTTGACCCGCCTTTGCGACCGCCTGCAACCGCCGGCCTTCGGTGGCCCAATCAATGTCAGCCGTTGTCATTGTTAGCATTTTATTTGCCTCTTGTTGGCCGGTTTTCTGTGCGCTTATGTAAACGCTGAAAAGCAGACAAAAGCCTGCCAAATAGCGCAAAATGTGCGCCAATTTAGTTGTCGTTTAATTTGATGGCACAGCCGATTTGGCAGGCAAAACGGCAGTAGAGGATTAGGCCGGAGCAATGCTGGCCACGTCATGAATGACTGCCCATCGAGTGCTCGAGTGCCAAGCGGAAAAATTGCTGAGAAAAGCGGTAGCTCAAAAAATACTCAAAGGAAAGCTTCGCATCGAAGGCTGAGCGGCAGCAGAGCGAAAATAAAAGTGACCACCAGTAATAAAATGCTAAGAGGAACATACGAGTGTATGCATACCGTAAAAGAAGGCCAGGAACCCAAAAATAAAGGCTACAGTCAAACTTCCATATCTGGAACCCTGTCTTAAATCTGGTTTCACAACGATTTCTTTCTGCCATGAAGGTTGGCTTCGCATATTATTAGATACACATGCAATGTTATAGAAAACAATTTAAAGGGTAATAGATTTTTGAAATATTCTATTCTGATCAGTAACAGTTATAAACACTTAAAACTAGGAACCTATTTTCTAAAAATATGACTGTGTTTGAACTATTCTTACCTCTTTAAAAGGGGAACCGAGTGCGATGCGTGTTATTCACTAATATTTAGAGTTTATGCCTAGAGTTGCAGAACAGAGTACGAAAGGAAGATATAAAAAGAGGAGGACTGAGATGGACACTGGCAAATAATGCAGACCATTACATTAATGACTGCGGCAAAAAGTCGAAAAAGCGGCAAAAGGTCGAAAAAGCGGCAAGAAGTCGACCAGGCAGACAAAAACAGGAAAAACAATGAATGGTAGCCAGGGCAAAGCCAGAAAATCGAAACATTATGAGGTCATTTTAATTATTTATGTGTGCGTGTGGCCAGCCTAGAAGTTCGAATGGACTTAGCCAAGGTTACGTACGGAAAAGGACCTCTCCAGACTGGAGATTTCATTTCATTTCATTTGCAACAGCATGTTTGCCCAACTCTTTAAGCGGCTTACGAGTGAGGAGGCGAATCCATAACTCATGCCATGACCCAGATATCTGAACATATTGAGTGGGTTTATTTGGCCAAAAGTATGACGGGGATATGACGCTCTTTTCTTAACTGTGCGTGCTTGGAAACTTTGATTTCTGCGCTGCCAAATTTGGATTTATGGTCTGTCTTCAGTTCAGCTATTCTAATTTGGACGTAGATTTATGAGCTGTTATGTGGGAGTCTCTTCAATTGGCACTCGTTCAGTTGGCAAAACATCAAGGCAGCTAAAAACAAGCCATAAGTAAATTAAGCACTATTCCATTGTTCCCATCTTGTTTCTTTTGCCGCAATCGATGCTGGTGGCAAGCTATGTGGAAAATTGCCTATACGTCATGGGTGCGGTGCGCCTTGCACCTTAACGACTTGAAAAGTGCCATAGAAAATGTCTCAATTTGCCATCAAAAATATATTTGCGTGCCTGTATTCAAAAGCAATTTCCTCGCTTTATCTACAAGTTATTTTAATGCAGACAAAATCCATTTTGCGTACCAACCGAGATGCCGGCAACTTTTTGGCCATGCACAGCATCGACGTCCTTAACATCACAATTTTTTTCATTTTTCATCCGCCGCACTCTTGCATACATTAGCCGATTCTGTCTGCCTTTCAGCCACATTATTTCGTGTTGTTGGCCATAAAACGAGTATGTGCGGAGTGTGCTTATGTCCATAAAGCCTTGGTAATAAATTTTGCTTCATTAGCTTCGAACAACTTCATCAAAACAATGTTTAAAAACTCGGGGCACAAATATTTTAAGAATACTAAACTAAAGCTATACTACTAAACGAAGAAATAAGTATTTTAGTATAGAACGACGAACTTTTTTCTTTTATATTTAAGAGAATAAACCTTGAAACAATTTTTTGCCTTCGTGATACGGTTTTCTTTGAATACAATTAACCCAAAACCTTTCT